CTGTGAAGAAGCCGAATCTAGGTCTGACATGATGGACGTCCCTGCACGTGTATGGGACGGAACCGGGCCCAACCCATCATCATTGTCTGCGGCTGTGAATTTCAGTAGGTGAGTGAAAAAGCAGGCTGCCCGCGCCACAGCTCACGGAGACGGCAGACCCCGCAGACGGCGCGGGCGCAGGGAGGGCGTCCCTGCCTCACCAGACACCTCGGAACCGCGCGTCCGGGAGACGCTTCCACCCAGCCACGTCGGCGAGGTTCTGCGGTGCGTGCGGGTGGGAGGCGGCCCCGTGGGCCCTGTGCGCGACGGGCTCAGAGCAGCCCTCTCAGCTGCCTCTGCTTGAAACCCGAATGCGAACCTCCTGGCCCAGTAATCCCGCTGCGAGGAGGGGACTTTCCTGAGATGGTCACACGTTGTAGCAGTGACACCAGTAACAGCGAGGGACTGAAGCAGCTGTCCCTCACGGGACCGGCTCAACGGACGAGCACTCGCCGGGAGCAAGAAATGGATGTGAGGACGAGGCCACTGTGCAGGTGCCACCTGGGGGCGTTCCAGGGGTGACCCCACTCTCCGTGAAGCACGAAGCCACAGCTACATGAGGACACAGGAGGAGGCCTGGGGGACTCCGGAAGCCACTATCGCTTGTGAGGACCAGCACGGGGCAGCAGGAGGGCCCTCCCGCTGCCTTACAGACCCAGGAGTCCATGAGCCGACAGTGTGTGCGTGACAGGACTTAGAAACGTGTATGTGGCGGAGAAGATGCTGCCTCCGTGACCCCCGAGGGGTGGGCAACCAGCTCCCCACCAGGGAGCCCACTTGAGACCCCGGGCCGCCTACAGTACGTGCTACAGGCCTCTTCCTCTTGAGGGCAGAGGGGCAGGCAGTGGGGCCTCCCTCTTCCGAACCCAGAAGCCTGGCCCGGCACGAAGGCCTTTGAGAAGCAGACAGGCAGGCACCAGGGAGGGCCCCTCTGCGCCTGGAGCCCGGCCTGCGGGCCACTCACCTGGACGAATTGCTGCTCCAGCACCTTGTGCCCCCACTGCAGGGCCAAAAATAACAACCAGAAAGAACAGGCTCAAAGGCACGAGTGGCCCAGCCCCACGGGGCGGGTAACAGAGACGTCTCTCACAGCACACGGGCTGCAGCCCCAGGAGAGTCAGGCCCCTCTCGCCGGGCCCTGGGCCTCAGCCGCGGGTGGGCTGACGGCCCTTCTCTCCGGAGCCAACGGTGAGTTCGGCAGAAACTCACCACCAGGATCTGCTTGTGCCTCTCATGGCTCCCGAACCTCTTCTGCATCTCGTTCATCTCCTCCCGAGCCTTCTGCGGAAGGTCTGCCAGGCGCCGGTTCTCA